CGCGGGCTGGGCCTCACCTGGACCTGGGCCGGAAGGGCCGTGGAGCGAGGGCGGTCACGGGTGGGCGCTGCGCCGCGTCGTCCCGAAACCTAAAAACCGCTGTACCTCTAAGTGAGCTGAGTACTCACGAGGAGGATTTGGATGACCAAATCCGGGCGAAGTACAGAGCCAGCACGGAGCCCTTCGAAACTTTCTCGGGCGACTGAGCCCTCCCTGCTCTCACTAATTCAGTATTTTGAAGATAAAGCATCTGGAGTAGAATTCCACTAGTGAACTCTTTCAAGTCCTGCCCTTGTCCCTGGAATTCCAATCTTTTCTTGCTTCCTTCTTCGGGTTTAGTTTCTGCAGCGTTTAGGTCGTCGTAGCACCTGCTTAGGTGCTGAGACGAGTGTGGATTTGCAGTTTTAGCTGCTTCTATTACTATAGAGTGTTAACCAGCCACGAAGGATATCTGCATCATTTGATGAGTATTTTGCCCTATTTAGAAAACGGGAATTCTGGGGTCAGTGTTGTGCTTTTGCTTTGTTTTATTACCATAGAGGCAGAGAGGCATGAGAGATCATTTTCCCGGACACGGCTGTCAGTGAGCTCGTCCTCAGCAGTAACTTCTGCGGGAACCGGGAGGAGTCAAAGTCCGATCTAGTCCGTGTTGTACCTTTGCGATATACCGCAGCCAAAGCAGAGTGTCGCCATCTGGGACTTTTGGAAGTCCCCAAGAGTGAATGTTAAAGGGAAAGCCAGAGAAACATCAGTAATTTATTGTCACCTGCTGCTTACTAAAGGAACAGAAAAGCTGAAAAACAAAACAAAAAAACCCACCCCCGAGGCAAAGCAGCGACTCTACTCGTTCTGTGGAAAGAAAATAGCGCCATCTACTGGAAGAACTCTTCATTTAGGGATCCAAGGACGGGCCTTTTTGCCTGGGAGAAGGGGAGCGGGAAAGTGCTTCCATCAGCTAAATAGAAAGTTTTAAATGTGGATTTTTGTTTTACAGGAACCAGTACCCGGTTATAACTGCTAGTTAAAAATGGATGAAAAGTGCTAAACATCCGCATCTCTTGAAAAGGAGTGAAAAATGTCCTCTCTCTAAAGGATAAAGGAGATGACGCTGTCTGCATTCATTATTACCTTTTCATTCTTTTGTTTGCAGTGCTGGGTTTCATTCTTTTGTTTGCAGTACCCCAGTACTGCAGACAAAGCAAAGCAAAACAAAACGACAAGGGAACAAACCCCTATCCTAGAAAACTGAGGTCCGCAACTCCTGAGACTTGTTTACCCGGCTGCTTTTGTTTTCTCCTGGGGTCTTGTCCTGGCCTCTGTCTGCAGTCTCCCTGCCTTGCTCTCGCCTCTCCCAGCCAGCTCAGACCTGTTTCAGGTTCCCCTTTCCTATAAAGGCTGGGGTTTGGCCATCAGCCTTTCTCCAGGCCTTCTCAACATTCCTTCCACTGATTCACTCAACAAGAAATATTCATCCAGTTTGAGTCGCTCTGCCGGGCAAACAGGCTTTGTAGGTAAAAGAGGTCCCAGCACCTCCCCAAAGTATGCCCAGGATGGGCTTGTGTTCTCACACACACACACACACACACACACGTATGCACATGTACACGTACACACTGAACCATCCACCGGGAGATGGCCTGCAGTAAGCCCTCATACGGGGATGAGAGAGCAGCAGAAGCAGTAATTCTGTTGGGAAATTAAGAAAGACACTGGACGCATTGCTTTTTGAGCTGGTGTCACTGGACAGATAGATCAGCATACCTATAATATATGTAATCAGTGGAAAACAGCCCCACAGTATCTGAAAAACATCATTTTTTGGATTACCTGATAATTCAGTATTTAGGAATCTACCCTATTGAAGTACAAGCATTATTATAAGGTAAGGTATCCTAAATATAAGTATGACTATGAATATACTAATTGCGGCATTGTTTGAAATAGCAAAATGTTAGAACACCTCCGTGGAGGAATGGGTAAGTGAACCTTCACACCGTGAATTTGATGCTCCTATTTTTAAACATTGAGTTCTAGTTGAGAAAAATGCTTCAAAATATAGAATGGTGGACAGAAGGATAAATTCATAAATTGTGTGATAAGTCAAGCGCAATAAAACGTTGATTATAGAGCACCCATAGTGAGTTTATAGGTGTTTACCATTTAATTCTTCCAAAGTCTATGTATGTTTGAAAATGCTTATACTAAATTGTCAGCGATAAAAAGGAACAAATCAATTTCATATGTATTGGCCTAGAAAATGATGTTTTAAAAAAATCTATGATATGCTTCTATTTTTGTGGTTACAAAAGCCAGCTAGAGCGGGAAACCCGGCCCTGTCACTTCCTAGCTGTGACCGTATACAGGTCCCTTCCCAATCTGTGCCTCAGTTTTACTGGTCATAAATCTGCCTTGTTGTTACCTTGAGGAGAATGCATTAGTTTTTTAAAAACAGTGCAAGGCCGACAGTAACTGTCCAATGAAAAGAGGGTGTGTGGGGTGTCGTACATACACAGAGCGGAGAGACTTTTATATTCATAAGTATGTGTGTGTACACGTGGGCTGGGGAAAGGCCACACAGCATGGAGCACTATTGTTTATTTATTCGCTTGTTTAATGCAATTTCATGAAAAAAAGGTCAGGCAAATCCGGAAAGAGGGACATTCTCTGAGATGACTGGACAGCAGACGACTGTTCTAGATGGAAAGAGACACACGGCGCAGAACAGCCATAGGTGGTGTCCAATCTTTGATCGCCTTCCAGTGGAAAAAAATGGCTGTGAGAGACATTTGGGGGACAATCGGGAAAACTTAACATAGGCCGGGAATTAGCTCATGTTGGGGAGTTACTTTTAGTTTTGTTAAATGTGACCGTGGAGCTGTATTTATGAAGAATACCTTTTTTTTTTATTAGTGTATGTTTGTAGTCCACAATGTTGACCTTCCTTGTGGGGAATTGGTACATGGACATAGCACATCTGAATTCCTTTTTTTTTTTTTTTTAAACTATGGATTGAACTCAGGACCTTGCACTTTCGAGGCAGGTGGCAGAACCACTGCGCTAAATCCTCGGCCACCCTCCCCCTTCTCTTCATCCTCTTCCTGTGTGAGAAAATCTATCCTCCTACTTCCTATCTTGTTTTAATTTGTATTTTGGGTTTCACATGTACAATATGTAAGCTGGCGTCTGGTTTCCTTCACTTAACATTATGGTCTCAAGGTCGTGGTTTTCTTACAAATGACTCGTTTCCCTTCCTTTATGGCAGAGTAGTACTCCATTGTATGTAAATACCACATTTCCTTTATCCCTTGTCTGTTGATTTATTTAAAAGATGTTCACCCTGAGACCTTTGAAAAGAGAGCCGAGATGTTTGCAACTTACTTTGAAATAATTCAGCACAGGACGTGTGCAGAGAGATACAGATCAAGCGAATGTGACAGACGTTAGATCAGCTGGTGGGTATAACTGGTGTACCTTGGACTATTTACTCTAATTTCCTTTATCTTTCAAATTTTTCTTCATAAAAAGTTTTAAAGCCAAGGAGAAAAGTTGTAAAAGACAAGTGGTGCGGTTTATGAATGGGATGTTCGCAATGGCAGGGCCGGGAGGTTCTCATTGATGACATGGTGCCTTGGCATTAAGCACAGAGACATGAATTGTAATAATGGAAAGTGGCCATAGCGTTGTTCGAAGTGGGGTCCGTGAGACTGGAGTGTCAGCCAGCATGTCCTGGGGCCCCGCTAACAGCGCGGATCCCCGAGTTCTCTGCAGATGGAGCAAGTCTGTAGAGGTTCCAGGCCAGCCTGACGCAGATCTAGACTTGCCCTCATCTCAGCGGAACCTTCTGAGGCTGGCCAAGGACCTTGGTATTTTTCTCAGGAGCCCCCTGTGGTTCTTGATGTAAGACAGTCATCCGGGCACTCACCTGAGCACAGGAATGGCCCTTGGGGGTTCGGCCGCAGGCTCGGACTGAGGATTGTGTCTGAGCTGAGCCTGTGGGAGGTCCTCCGGAGAAGGGCGGCACCTCCAGCCTTTTGGTGGCGCTCTGCATGTCTAAGGTGACCTTTAGAGGATGTTTTCCCACACAGATAGGTACAGGAAGGAAGTACAGCTCCATGGTGCCTTCAGAAGTTGGAGTTCTCCCTATAAATTCATACTCTAGTTGCTAGTTGCACATTAATTACTAGTCTAGCTGGATCTATGTCAAGCCCTGGAAGCTGACCTAATCTGTCTACCCATCCGATCCTCCTTTCTCTCTCTCTCTTCCCCCTCCTCCCCTCCCTCTTCTCCTCCCCTCCCCTCCTTTCTTCTTCCTCTTCCTTCTTCCTGTAAAGAACGGGAGAGCCCTGGTGAAGCAGCTAGGATAAATACGCCCCTCTGGAGACTTCTGGATCCGGCATCCTTCTCCAACCATCACGTACTTTCATCTCCCGTGGACTCCTACAGTTTATGAGGACCAAGAGAGACTCTCGTCATCAGAAAAAGGGTTTGGTCATGGTACAGTGGGTTCCCCACCTGACGCGTGGGCAACAGCCCTGCCTCACCTGTCAGTGTGGTGCAGTCCTTCAGTGCCCCCGTTTCCAGCCTGCCTTCAGCTCCTCAGGCTGCCCAAGCTCCTTGCTGCCCCAGGCTGTAACACCCACTGCTCCAGGAGCCTTGGGTCTCCTTCCATCCACGCTCAGAGCACCCAGAGGCTGGCGCCTCCTTTAGGACTTGGCTGAAATGTGACCTGCTTGGAGAGGACTTTCGGTACGACACTGGCCCCTTCCTCACGGTAGAGTTCACCACAGACACGTGCGGTTTGGTCATCTGTTTATGTCTTTTACTGGCTGTCTTCCTTCATCAGATTTTAAGATAGACAAGTGTGTTTCATCCTAGGATCCTCAGTACCTCTATGATACCTGCCACCCAGAGAAACACTGAAAATATTTGTGAATCCAGTGAATAAGTCTTAGGGCGGGAAATACCTCAGGGGAAGCCAGTTCAGCTCTTGTCCTCTGCTTTAATTAAGGACCTGCCCATGAGGGCAGTCCTTCCTAAACTGCAGCAAAGCAAGACTAATGAGAATGATACTTTTTCAGTGTCCTCTGTATATGCAACTTCAGAGATTGTGCTTTTCCTGTTGGGGCTCTTGAGATGCCTTCTCTTAAACCATGGTGACAGGGAGTGGTATCTGGCTGCTTGGTGTACTTACTTGGAAAAATAAAAACATAGCGATTTTCACTGGGCTTCTGGTTTTTCTGGCCTATGAAATTGAGAAGTGTGTAAGCCACAGGTCTTGGGATGGGAGCTACCCATCCCTCTAAATTGCTACTTAGCTAAGGCGCAAGAGAACATTGCACCCCTGGTTGGCTTTGGATTTTCAAGGGGGCTTTCTTTATGTCTTTGCTGTGTCTCTTTGTAACTGCCACCCACGGTGGCCATGGAGGTGTGCCGCACAGCCCTCCTGGAGTCTGTCTGCCCCAGGTGTGCCCAATGCCATGGTATTCATGCAGGGCCATGCTTCCCAGGGGTGGCTCAGCACACAGGCACAGCATGGGGCTACATCCGGGCCATCCCTGCCCTGCGAGGGGCCTGCAGAGCAGCCTTTGGGGACACCACCTCCCCTTGCAGAGACTTTCTCAGGGCTGTGCTGTGTCCTGAGGCTCCTCCCACCAGTCCTCCTTGCCCTGTCTTTCACGGGTGTCACAGCTGCACCCTCCTCTAAAGGCTCTTCCTGCCCATCCTCACTTCCTTCTCGTTTAGCATCCACAGGAATTCCCTCCAGGAAGTGTGCACGTCCACCTTCCGGTTGGCATTTTCCTGAACTGATGCTCCTAAGCAGTGACTCAAAGTGACCGAAAAAGCGACAAGGTATTCCAAATGCCACCTGAGTGAACACAGACAAGTTACTTCATCTGTTTCACCAGCTGTAAGTTGGGGATAATTCTGTTCACCTTACAGGGGACAGCATGTGAGGTGCCTAACAGTGCCTGGCACTGCTTAAATGGCTAGCCACTGTCTTGCCCTTTGCCACTGGGAGAAAACTGCACTGACGATTGCAAAGCTGTTTGAGTTGATGAAAATGCATCTTGCATGTTCAAAGAAAAACCAAAGCACACACACACACACACACAAAAAAAATCAGGGGGTACCTTGTGCTGGCAGGCGGCAGAACCACTGAGCTAAATCTGCGGCTCACAGAATTTTTGCAAGTTACATATACGATGGGGCCAGGAAGCTTCCTAGGATTATCAGTGTTCAGTATCCATCAGTGATGTGAAATGAGTTTTAGTGTAGATTCTAATTTCCAAAGCTGGGGCGCTGGGAGGAATGGATTTAGGTCCACTAGAAACAGCAAGCAGGCAGGGAAATGCTTGTTGGTTGGAAGGAGACCAGCACGGGATTCCCTGGACTCAGCTCAGAAAAGGTGCAGAGACACCTGCATGCAAACAAGGGCAGGGGCCACCCGGGGAGACTCGGTGACCCAACAGAAATGTGCGGGGTTGAGGACGTCCCAAGCTTGATCTAAAGTGAGCCGAGCTGGCACCTGCGTCAGAGACTCCTACGGATGGTCTCTAGCTTATGGTGGTTCAACTTGTGATTTATTTCGACTTTAGAATTGTGTGAGAATGGAAACTCTGCCTGGCATTTTGGAGTTTGGTCTTTTCCTGGGCTAGCATGGGGTGGTGTTAGGATCCCCCTTGGCACGCAGGCGGCAGCAGTGGTGAGCCGCAGCTCCTCCTCAGCCTGGATCGCAAGGGTGAACAGCTGATGTCACCATGTGCTGTGTACTAAGCTAGGATGTCTCTCGGGTTAGGTGTTTTCAGTGCATGTTCGACTTACGGTTGAAAGGATGGGTGGTGTGGACTAAATCCTTCATAGGTTGAGAAGCATGGGTAATGTGTTTCCTATGGGAAAGTTGTTTCTATATTTTAAAATAATATCTAAAAGTAATTACAAGGCTTGCTCTTCTAAGCTTGTTAGGAGGTCTGAAAATAGCTGGCACACAGTAGGTACTTGGTAAATATTAGTTTTCCTTTTTATATACACATTAGGATACCTAACGTGGCTTTTGTACAGCTTGGGTCTGCCTTGCATAGGCATATGCTTTGTCCTCCCTTGGAAGTCACGATAGCCCCATTGAGACAGAGAGCCGGGGCTCTGTTAGCCCAGGGCAATGTGATGTTGCCTGCACCAATATCTTGAGCCTCCAGTACATTTTTTACACCAGTGGGTGATGGCCTAGTAATCCCAGCCCAAACCAGTGCTGCTGGCTGCCTAGGTAGACTGGCCAGAGAGATTTTTAAATATTCTTCAGTTTCTCTAGCATTTGTCCAGGGAAAAAGACTCCTCACACCCAGTTTTGCATCAGTAGATGCACCAGCCACAGGCCATGAGCGGTTGACTGTTCTTCATGAGTCAGAGTGGACTGTGAAGTGGAGAAGAATGTTGTCTCCATGAAGAAAGAAAAAAAATGTACTGTCGCAAAATGTGCACACCCCTTCTACCATTTGTAAATGTAAATTTCAGTGGTGCTAAGTACATTCACAGTGTTGGGCAGTCACCACCACTATCCGTTTCCAGGACTTCATCCTCATCCCAAACCAAAACTCTGTATTAGGGTTTTCTAGAGCAGTAGAAGCAATGAAAAATATGTATAACTAAACCAAAGGCTTTACGAGGGTTACAGGACCAGAGAGGGAGAATCCACAATGGCGGTCTGCACACTGGAGAGCTGGAGGATCCAGTATGGAAGCGGCAGAACAGGAGGGATCAAGGAGGTGGCACCAGTCCAAGGTCGAAGGCCCGGCAGCTCCCCTGAGAGTTGCTGGTGGCAGTCTGTTGTGCTAGAAGGCTGAAGAAACTGGAGATCTGGAGCCCAGGGTTCTAAGATGGTTGGCTGCAAAGGGTGCACCCGCTCAGGAAGACTGGAGCTGTTCAAAATGGCTACACTTCCTTCTCCCTTCCCTTTTTATTCCTCCCAGGCCACAAGCCTATTGGTTGGTACCACCTGCAACCAGGGCAGGTCTTCCCCACTGCATTTGCTGGCCTTCATGTCAATCATCCACAGACACATCCAGAACTGCACTTTACTAATCTCTTAGCTGTTTCTTAATCCATTCCGTTGAGAAACAATGATTACGAGTCACAGTGTACCCACAAAGCAGTAGGTCTCCCTCCATCCCCTTCCTCTCAGCCCTGTCAAGCACCGTTCTTTCTGTCTCTATGGATTTGAATGCTCAGGTACCGTATACACACAGATAATACATCTGTCCTTTTGGGACTGGCTCATTCATCGGGCGTCACGTCACCCAGGTTGTAACCCCATCATTACTGCACTCCTTTTCCTCTTTTGTTTCCAGAACCTGGCTCAGAGGGTGTCACAGGTACTCAGTAAGTGAGGCTGAAAAATATTACAGGAAAATAACTTTTGAAGCAGTTTCCTCCAGAGCAGCGTTAGATAAGAAGGACAAACTTAATTTTTCAAATGCTTAGGTACACTGTTTTTGACTGATTTCTTTCTTTTTTTTGGTGGTACCAGGGATTGAACTTGGGTCCCAGTGAGGTAGGTGGTGGAACCACTGAGCCAAATCCCTGGCCCTTGACTGATTTCAAAATAAGGAATCCAAACCAATTAACTGGTGCAGTTATTCAAATAAAATAAAAATATAAGCAAATGAACCACAAGTTCAAACACAAATGCAGATGGGTTCACACATCTTAAAAATAAACAAGTGTGTGAAGCATTAATTATAGTTTTTTTTATAGTAGAACATCTCATAATGTATCACAGATTAACTTTCAAATAAATTCAGATAGAAAGATATGTGTAAGCATGGCAAAACCACTCCTGTTTACAGGAATTATCTAGGTCGGGATTATAAAAGTGAGACTTTTGTACTCGTGGAACTTGTGGAGAGGGAACTTGCTCCAAATAGCATAAAGGAAAGTCAAAATTGCTCAAGCTATAAGTCATTAAATGCTTATTCTGGCCTAGTTATTGATTCAAGAATTGCCTCTTTTACAACTGAATGTACAATTGAAACGTATCTACCAACTTGCATAGTTCAAACACAATTCTAGTTTGGTAATGTGAACAAAGGCCAGAATCCCCTTCTCCAATATTTTAAAAAAGCAATCTTTTTATGTTGAGAGCACCCCATAATTGTCAGTACCAACAATTTTCTCCTTACCAGGCACTACTATAGCCGGGGAGAAGTTACACTCCATAATGATCAACCCCTGGGTTAGTCAGCTGTCTGCCATGGTAACAAACACCTGAGATAATCTTGTGGCAAGAAAAGGGTTGTTTTGGCTCTCAGTTTTGGAGATTTCAGTCCATCATCAATTGGCCCCATCTCTGGGCCAGGAGCAAAGAAGAACATCAGGCAGAAGCCGGGACCTATTGGCCAGGAATCATGAAAGGGAAGTGATAGAGGGGTGCACTGTCCTTCAGGGCCACACCCCCAAGACCTGAAGACTTCCTGTGAGGCCCCACCTTAAAGGTTCCATCACTTCCCAGTAGCACTAAGCTATGGGCAGCACCTTTACCGCAGCAGGCTTTTGGGGGACAGTTACGATCCAAACTATAGCAACCCCAGCTTTTCCACATCCTTGAGATGTTCCAGGTAGACTTTTATGAGAAACTGCCTCATTCCATACTTAAATTGTGTGGCGAGCTTTTGCAGAGTCTTGCGTGTGCCAATAATGTTCACTGTGACTCTTCTGAAAGAGTCCAGAATGTGGTGGTTCCTAGAACTACTTGAGTCCAGAACCTGTGTTCCCCAGGTGGAAGTTCCTATAGTGCTAGTGTTGCCTGGAATACATTTTAGTACGTTCTGGGTCTGATAATACATTAGAGAAAAGCAATAAAGATGATGAAAGAAGTGGGAAATTGTACTTAATAATTCCATGTTGAAAAACCATGTGTTTTGCAGGCAGTTACACAAAGGTGACCGAGCCCAAGCTTCAGTCAAGAACAAAACAAAAACAGCTTCAAATCCCGTCCAGCACTTGGGAGCTGTGGATCTTGGGTTGATGCTCTAACTTCATGTTATCTCCATTTTTCTGTCTGCTTTAGCAAATGTGCCAGGATTATATGAGATAATATCTAATTGTATCGATTGAAGTCCAGCCAAGAGACAGAAAGCATGCAATTATTTCATCCGAGATTATTAATATAAAGTGTTGTTAACTGAAAAGCCAAAGGGAAAACAGAGTTTATCACAGAGACAGCGAT